GGGGGGGAGAAGACTTCTGAGGGTTTTTTCCGCCTTATAAATTCATTTTTGTTACAAGCATCTTTTATACATATTACTAAAGGGAGCGCACTAAGAAATGCAAATAATAGTTCTTTATTTTATTATGACAGTTAATTAATAGCAACCTGTTTTAATGAATAAAGTCACTCAGAGTCCTTCAGCACTTCCTAAGTAGAGGCCAGAATCTGTAGGGATTCTTTTTTCCCCCCCATTGTATAGCTCCGAGACTCGACGCGCTATATAGGGCCTGTATAGAAATGCTCGCTAATGAAGAGGGAGGGCGAGGAACTTGTCTGCATTCAAAGATCACTGGTGAGTCATTCAGCGAGAAAAGGCCCCTTGCTAGGAATAGTCACAGTTCCGCGGCATTGTGCTAGCAAAAGGGTTTGATCAAAGGTCTCCTGCCGAGCTTGCATGGTTTCCTTTCATACGACGACCATAATTAAAACCACTAATTCTCTTTTAAAATGCTGCAGGATGCCATGTAGGCATCTGTCTGGAGTGTCCTTTGTGCTGTCGGGAGCTGTTAAGGACCAGCGCCGAGGGCTTTTCAGCGACATGCCAGTCAGGAAGGTGATTCGACATAAGGGTGCCTCTGAAGGCTTGACAGGGCCTTGACTACACAATTCCAGCTGAATTTGCCCCTTGTCAGCTGCCAGTAAATAAATCTCAAAGAAGAGGAGGGTGGGGGGGGGAAAGCTGAAGTTTCATTACCTGATCCCCGGGGCTTTGTTGGTTTTGGCATCGCCCAGGGGGAAGCCCTCACCCCTCGGGGCCGGGGAGCTGGAGATGGCCATTGGAGACCCTGGCGCCCGGGCCGTTTGAAGACCGTCAATACTTGTAACAGTTCAGCTGTTAGGAAGACAAATAAATGGAAGAGCCCATTAATCCCCTTTGGGTACTCGGTGCCTTTTGCCCTTTTATCACAGCCTTATTAGGTTCCTACTCATCTTGAACCAGGAGGGATGAATTGAAGTTGTTGAGCGCTAATTGGCAAAGACTTTTCATCGCGGGCCAAGAACTTTCACTGACTTGAAAGTAACTTCGCCACAGGGAGGATCAGCAAATTCTTGCCTCGCCATTAAAACAAAACCCCAAAATCCCGTTGGGATTCAGTGTGGTGTTTAAAAAAAAATTAGGAAAAGGAAAAAAAAAAAGGCAACTGGTAAATCGTCGGGCTTGTCCTTCGTGAGGATGTTAGCAACTTATATTTGCTCTTTAAAAGCGAGTCATGGAGCCAGACGCGGCACAGGGTGATCCATCCTGAAACGCAGTTGAAATCCACGTGTCTTAACGTATGTGCGTGTGCGCTATGAAAACCTGCGTTCAGGCCAGGCTTCCCAAAAGCAGCCTGGGCGATGATCTGTAGGGTGGCACCATTGTTCTCGACAGTTTGCAGCCTCTCAGGGGTTGAGCAGAGGGGTGCTGAGGTTTCTGTATGCCCGGGGACAATTCTGGCTGCCCTCATCCCTGTGTTTGGTGGTGGCCTTTGTAGATGGAAAATATTTCAGCGTGGAGGCACTTGGATGTTCTCCTGTGAATTGTTTTTTAATGTTGATTTTGGTAAATGCTGCATTAATGTGAATGTGGGTACTGCCCTGTCTCCCCGTTTTCCCCACTGCATGTTTTAAATAAAGAGTAAAAACTTTTGCCAGGTCATGAAGGCATCTTATACATGATAAGTGACAATATATCATGGGCCACCTCAGCCTGGAAGACATCAAGCTGGGGATTTTAGAGCAGAAATTGATTGTTCCCCTATTGATTGTTCCCCAGCCTCTTTGCTTGGGGGGCTCATGAAACAAGGTGCCCACATTAAGGATGGCATCTCCCACTGGGACACCAATGTGTGTACCCCAGCAAAGCCCACCTATGCTGCACCCCGACCGTATTTCCAGGAACTTCCAGGACCAGGAGCTTGGCACAGTGCTGTGTGAGCAAACAGGCGGCTAAAGCTCCTGCACTGCTTGTGGTAGGGAATGAAGACATCATTGTCAGCACCCTCCAAAAGGCTGTTTGGTTTGGATCTGCCCGATGAAGGTGGAGCAAGCGCTCGTGGCATTGCCCGTGCCATGTGGCTGCAAGATGCTGCCGGGCTCCGTGGCCACGAAGGGCCAAGCAGCAAGGACGAA